GGCCTAACCAATTGCCAAGGCGGAGAAGAAAGAAGACGGAAAGGAGCTATATGTTCTAGCTCAATCCCAGCAGCAGAAAGGAAAGGTTTCACTCTTATACCAAGAGGCGGAACAAGAGAAGGCTTCTTGTTATACAGATCTTCATATAGTGGATGAAAGACACAGTTAAATGCAGGGTTTGACTCATATGAAAAAAGATTTGTAATATACTGTAATGTGAATTTTATACGGCGTTGTGTAAGAGATGGCTCATCAGCCTCGACGTATAGGCTGTCAACAGGTGAAGTTCTAAAGGAACCAAGACATAGTCTTAGACCTTGGTGGTGGACAGAATCTAATAGTTTTAGATTACTGTTGCAGGCTCCACCATACACGATGGAGCCATAATCAAGTTTGGAGCGTACCAATGATCGATATAATTGTAGGAGGGCAGCTTGATCCCTCCCTACTTAGAATTGGAAACGACTTTCAACAAGTCAAGTGCCTTCAAGCATTTAGTTTTTAGGGACTTGATATTGGGAAGAAAACGTAGATGCGAGTCAAAAATTAAACCCAAGAACTTGGCCTCCTTTACAACTTTGATGGGAGTGCCATTGAGGACCAGTTCAGGGTCTTTATGCGGTTTATATTTTCTACAAAATGTATACAATTAGTTTTGAATTTAGACAATTTAAAGCCATTTTCAAGACACCATTTATGTATTTTATTTACACACAGCTGCATTTGCCGTTCAATAGTATGCATATTCTTACCGCGACAAGAAATATTTAAATCATCCACAAAAGTGATCCATCAATTGAATCGTTTAAAACCTTTGATAAACTGTTAATCTTGATGCTAAAGAGTGTTACAGACAATATACTGCCTTGCGGGCCTCTCGGATCCTGATTATAATGGTCAGACAGGGTAGAACCCACTCGGACTTGAAATTGCCTGTCATTTAAAAGTTGGAAAAAAAAGTGAGGCAAACGGCCTCGTAATCCAAAGTCATGTAAATCTTTTAAAATCCCATGTTTTTCCATGTTGTGTCGTATGCTTTTCTAAATCGAAAAGATCGACACTGCATGCTATTGATTAATTATGGAATTTTTCACAAAAGATTCTAAGCGCACTAAATGATCGATTGTAGTACGGTTTTTACGGAAACCACATTGTATATTAGTTAGAAGGTTATTGGTTTCCAAGTACCAAACAAGTCGATTATTTATCACGCGTTACATGGTCTTGCAAACACAGCTAGTTAGTGAAATTGACCTATAATTAGAAGGATCAGTATGATCACGTCAAGGTTTAGGGATGGGCACAATTATAGCATCACGCCACGACGAAGGAAATTGTCCAGATGTCCAAATGTCATCAAAAATAGATAAGAGCGTCTCTAAACATGATTCAGGTAAGTGTTTCAGGAGTTGATAATGTATACCATCAGCTCCTGAAGCAGTATCGTGAGCTTGGTCAAGAGCAGTATGAAGCTCATGTATCGAAAAGGTTTCATTGTAGTCTTCCCCATTGTCTGAATTGAAATTAATAGGTTTCTGTTCCTGCTGTTTTTGATATTTCTGGAATTCAGGTACATAGTTAGATGAGGAAGAATGTTTTGCCAAAGTTTTTCCAAGTTTATTTGCTATGTCAGATTTATCAGTTAATAATTCATCTCCATTTTTGAGATGCTTAACGCTAGATTTAGAGCCCTTACCTTTTATTTTCTGGAACATGTTCCACTCCTTTGATATCGGCGTGCGCGAATTGATGTTTGAGACATAGTTTCGCCAAGATTGGCTTTTACTTTGTTTAAAAGTACGCCGTGCTTTAGCATTTAAAATTATAAATTTGTTTAAATTGTGGACCATATGATGGCAACGGAAATAATGTTCAGCTTTCTTCCGTGCCTTGCAAGCTTGTTTACATTCAGCGTTAAACCATGGTTTACGTTCATGAGGGACTTCAGAGGATTTGGGGATACCCTTGTCAGCTATGTGTCTGAGCTCATCTGAAAAACATTTGATAGCATCAGGAAGATCATGAAAAAGTTCAGGTTTGAGTTTGTCAGCACAGAAAGTTTCATATAAAGGCCAGTTAGCCTTCTTAAAGTTCCATCTTGATGATGGAGGAACATCAGACGGATTCACGGGTTTTAGAATTGTTGGGAAATGATCACTTCCACACAGGTCGTCGTGGACTGACCACTCAAATTCATTCAATAAGTCTGAGTCAGTAATTGATAAATCAAGAGCTGAAGAAGTTCCTGTGCCAGGATGTAAATATGTGCTAGAACCATCATTATATATGCATAAATCATTGTCTGAACAAAACTCTTCTAAAAGTTTACCTTTAGCATTAGTTGTTGTACCACCCCAGAGCGGGTTGTGGCCATTTACATCTCCCATAATGATACAAGGTTTTGGGAGTTGGTCATATAAATTTTGAAGGTCAGTCTTCTGAAGAGTTGAAGACGGTGAGATGTACAAAGAGCATAATGTGAACGCAACATGTAACGTCAGTCGTACGGCAAACGCCCGGAGACCGGTATTAAGTATAACAGGGCTATGGATAACATTTTGTTTGATAAGGATCGAAGATCCTCCAGTGGCCCGATCACCTGGAGGTGAAAAGGAATGGTATGCATTGAAATGACGCAAATCAAATGTATCCGTCTGTTTTAAATATGTCTCCTGGAGACAAGTGGATGATGGTGTGAAGTCCTGGACTAATAGTTGCAAATCATTGAAATTATTCCTTAGCCCTCTGCAGTTCCACTGTACAAGATTAATAGAAGACATTATCTTTTGGGGATTTATTGGGGATCTACCCCGCACTTGTTTTGACGGCGACAAACTATGTTCCCTAGAATGGACGTTTTCAGATACGTCCATGTCCTCAAGAGATCCATATTTGTTGAACAACTAAATTTTATTTTGCGACCCCTTTGGAGCTCTGCCACTTTGTTTCTTGTTAGCATCAATTTGTTGATTGTCAGATGACGATTGAGTGAGTCAGCGTGATTGAGAGGATGATTTATGATCAGAAGTAGATTTTGACGTACCAGGAAGTGATTCCCTCAGCCTGAGATGATATCGCAGGGTACAAATTCTGTGGAGATTCCCCTTTGACCCAAGTCAAGGTTGTTTTGGCAGCTAGTGGATGATTTTGGTATTTTAGAGGTAGACTCAGATGGTGTTTTGGCTACTGCAGGCATAACTCTCTCGAAGGTCGGATCTCTTTACCAGTTTTTTGCCTCAGAAAAGTGATATTTTGGGTAAATTTGATTTTGTTATTTGCCATTTGCTCTTTCCAACTGGGACACTCTTTAGAAAAGCTGAATGGTCGCCCGAGCAGTTGGTGCATTTTTAAAAGTACTGATACAATCTTCTGTTGTGTGTGTCTTCTCACCACAGTGAGCACACACAACAGACAATGTACTAAGTATTTACACCGTGTCCATATTTCTGGCATTTAAAAACACCTGAGTGGGTTAGGGATGTAGGTGTCAACGGGAATGTTACAGTAACCTGCCTTCAGCGATTTGGGGAGCATTTGGAGATGAAAAGGAAAACAGATAGGTATTCGTTCTGAAAGTTCCATTGTTTTTCGGGTTGTAAAGCGCTTAACATAAAGAACACCTTGATCTTTCATCTCTGATACTATGTCACGTTCCGTGATATCATCAAACAATCGATCCCGGTCTCTGACGATTCCTTTACTTGTTTTCAAAGTTTTGTGAGCAGAGACCGAGACCTGAATGCCAACGAACAATTCTGTATTGATCAAGTTTTTTCGCGCATTCAGCTAGCAGCGCACGTGAACGGAGACGTTTAATGTTCTTTACATCCCCAGCAATACCTGAATACCCTTAGATACTGATAAAGGGTTCAACTTTAATGGAGTCTTGTCTAGAGTCTCGAATACAAGGAAACCTGGCCAATACTCAATCGATTTAGGCAGTCTGTTGTCATCATCAACGTTTTTTTTTTGTTGGTGTTTCATAAGCCATGGTTATTTTGTTAGATTTCATCATCAGAGCTCCCACCCACCACGGAGTATCACAAGGACAATGCTAAAAACAAGCGGATCTCCGACTTGCAGCACCAAGGATACCCGGATGACATACTCCAGCAGAAAAATTAAAAGATTAATGAATCCACGAGATTGGCCCATGAGCCACCGCCTTCTGGGCATACGACTCTAGGCAAAACACATACATGAAATTGTGCAGTTGAAATTCAGAAATTCAAAGTTCAAAAATTGCCAAGACTTAAAAATATCAAATAATAATTCTCAAATTTTGTGCAACATTTTACAGTTGGCGTGACCAGCCGATTGATTGAACCGGGCCAGTTCAACAACCCGTCTAGGTGAAGTAAGGGGCAAAGTGGTGTGTTGGGCAAAGGAACACTGTTCCTGGAACCAGTGCCCTCAACCACCAGCCTCCCGTCCTCCACCGACACAGGGGCGCAAACCCCACGGCAAACGGGTTGGTGGACTAAATATACCCCCGGGTCCACAACGGAGGGTCGAAGAGCGCTTAGCGTTACCCAGCAGCCTCCACGAGGAGGTGGCTCCTCACGGGTGCTTGTTAGTTGGATGTGTATGGAGACAACAATCGGATAATCTGCTGAAATTCCAGATATTTGAGAATACACCCGTTGTTGCCTCGGTATTTACATAGTTCGAAGGTCATGTTGACAATCCCTTGATATACTGATCAAAACTCGATTATTTGCAGACCTCGGGAATGTAGCATCTTGTGGCGTTAGGAACCATACAGGAGTGACTATGTCCATGCATCCTCTAGCACATGAATCATATTGTGCTGAACCCGCTGGCTTGGCACTATATCACAAGATTGTCGTTACGGTGATTATGAAAGCGGGTTTTCTGTTGTATTGTTAAGTCATGTCTAGTGAAACCTTTGTCGGATTCAATCGTATGGATAAGGCTTTAATACTGTTGACAGAAATGTGACAAAACGCAACACAGAAATTACATTGTTAACAAGTATATTCAAATATAGGTTGTCTTTTACAGTAATTGCGAATACTGCAAAAGACTAAGTGGTATATTATGATAAGCCAAGTTAGTTATGATATGGTTTACAGTTACAACTGTATTAGATAATCTGATATATGAAAGTTCTTCATTTCGCGACAGTCCCACCAAAATAAAAGTCTCATGGATACAACAATGCGTCTCCGATATAATGCACCAGTTGCATGCAACGTGTCTTCAGTTGTGGACACAAGATGATTATGAACACGCCCAAAAGGAACATGAACCGCACGAGAGCGGGACAGGCAGTCCTCGTGACAGGCCGCATCTGAAATAACAACAAGCTTAGAGAATATCTCATTAGCTGCAAGGAATTATCTGTTTATCGAAATGAATTGCGTGTCCCTTTAACGTGTGATAAAGGACAGTATCGGAGTTTCGAGAAGGGCAATCTCAATATAGCACATTGTCATCAGAAAATTGAAGAAAATATACGTACTGTAAAGAAAAAAGAAACCTCACTTATTGGTGAGATGAAGACACCAGGGAGCCTCACCACCCTATCTCGACAGTCGCCTCTTATGGCAAGCAAGGGTTGAAGACCAATTCTAACCCGTATCTTCACGGGTCGATGAAAACATCACCTGTTGTTATCAAGCTGTGACATTGTGCATTGATGACATCATACTATAGATATTTTCAATGTCGTATCGCTTAAATTGATCAATACATTTATCTCTGAAAAATTAAAAAGGTACATGCAAATGTCGGCAGTCGAGACTCCATATCTACCCTTTATAGAATTTAAGGTTCACCACCAAGGTCTAAGACTTTGTCTTGCGTCTTTTAGAACTTCTATTGACAATCTCTACGTCGAGGCCGATGAACCATCTCTTAACCAACGCCGTAGAAAATTCTCCTAACAATATATCACAAAACTATATTCAAACGAGCCTAATCCTGCTTTTAACTCCCTCTATGAGGACCTTTACAACAAGAAATCTTCTCTTGTCCCGCCTCTAGGAATATTAATACAACCTTTCCTTTCTGCGGCCGGCATTGAGCTGGATATTATATCTACTTCCCGCCTTGTTTCTTCTCCTCTTAGGCAATTATTGAGGCCACAAGTTGACCTAACACTGACATCATTTAAAAAGTCAGAAATCAATTAAAAATTTACAATATATACAAGAATTTCATCAATTAAAAAGTAAATATAATACATACAAATCCCTATTTACAGATGGATACAAGGACGGTGGCCCAGCGGCTTGTGCCACTGTCATTGGATCCAAAACAATAGCTTCTCGATTACCAGATCACAGCTCAATTTTCATAGCCGAAGCAAACGCCATATTAAGAGCATTCAAATATAATAATAAACACCCCAGATATAAACAATACATAATTGATTCAGACTCTCGCTCGTGGCTTCAGTCTATTAAAAAGTTATCTGTTAAACATCCACTTTTAATTGAAATTATTGAATTATATAATGATCTTGCAACTGGCCAATACGACATCGTCCTCTGTTGGTTACCCAGCCACGTTGCCATTTCTGGTAACACAATGGCCGATTAGCTGCCAAAGCTGCACTTAACAAATCTGTGATACAACTTCTCATTCCATACTCCGATTACAAAAGCAACCATTAGATGGTACATCCATGATCTGATACAGAAGAAGTGGGATACTCAAGTAAGTGTTAATAAAATTATTGTAACTCCAGCTAGGGTCCATGCAGGAAGCAAAGTCCCCATGGTCCCTAGTATGGTGATCTACCTTCGGTTTTGGCAATCTATTGTGTAACGGCAAGTTTCTTAGCGGTTGACAGTTTGATACATGGGAGTTAGCTCCCTTGTGTACGGATGCTTGAAGCGAGCGGAAAATATGAGTGCGATGTGGTTTGCGAATTTCCAAGTCATGGTGTACTCTGATACAGCATAATGTTGCACGTACTTTATAGTCAGTAGCACTAACAGAGCCAGCACGAACATTGAAGTCTGTGTCGTTATGATTGCGAGACTGTTTGCCCGTGACGGGATTGAATTTTGGACTGCGAATGCGATGATATGTGCAAATGCGAAATACAAATTGACTGGAATCTGACCTCTCCTGTTGTTCTTCGATCTTGGAAACATTACAGTGCAACATTATCAGAGGATACTGTGTCAATTCGAAGGACAAGAAGGTACGTTGGTGACATTTCGAAGGAATTCACTACATTCAGCGCTACGATCGGTGTTATAAGAAATTGTTCCCTTGTCTGTATGGAACATGTGGCTTCAGAGACATTGCCGACTGTTGAAACCGATCCCAGGCCAATTTGTTCCCTATGAGATTTGACTCTTCATGTGCCATGACTTTGTTGTGATAACATCAAACCGGTGTCGTGTAAAATAATTCCCTGTGAGATTATTTCATGTGTGATACGTACCTTGTGACATTGAACGAACTGGTGCAAAGACCATTTGTCACTTGTGTAATATTCGTGCAGAAAACGGTGTCTATTGAATTTATTCCTTGTGAAATTTGTGAATGACATTCAAAATGTCTGACAGAATATCTGTAATTTCAAGCTTGCATGCTAAATCAAGTCAAAGATGTTGTGGAGGAACTTCAAGTAGAGATCAAATAGCAGCTGAAGTGGCAGCTTTAAAGGTGAAAATGAAGTATGTTGAGGTTGAAACAAAGAAGAAACTTGAACTTGAGAAACTTGAAGTACAGAAAGAGTTAGATATTGCTGAGGCCAGACTTAGCATCTTATCACAGACAGGTGAAGTGGACAAAACATTGTTATATGGGAAGGATATATTTGTGGATCAAGAGATTGTGCCAGAGACACAGAATGCTCATGATTATGTACAAGATTATGTGAATAATAACCCATTATTACCAATTCAGACACTGATGGAAACACCCATCATTCCTGTGTCAGATAGGAAGAAAATGAATTCAGGAAATGGACCAAAGGCCTCAACAAGGCTTGACGCTTCAGCCCCAGAATTTGTGCCATCTCAAACTGTTACAGAATCTCCCGCTGAACTTGCGAACATTACAAGGATATTTGCGGACCAGATCAACCTTTCACGACTACCTACCCCTGAACCAGGTGTGTTTGGTGGGAGACCCTTAACATACCCTGCTTGGAAGGCAGCATTTGAGACTTTAATTGAGAGAAGATGTATCCCTCTAGGTGAACGTATTTATTACCTAAAGAGGTATCTTACCGGAGCTGCTAAAGACTGCGTGGAAGGTTTCATTCTATTGAATACTGACATTGCCTTTGAGAAAGCAAAGGAATTATTAGACAAGAGATTTGGAAATCCGTTTGTTGTTGCGAATGCCTTTCGTAACAAACTCGAAGCTTGGCCAAAGGTTGACGGTAGAGATGGCCTTGCTCTACAGAAGTTAACAGATTTTCTTTCACAGTGTGTAGTTGCTATGGATAGCATTAACAGTTTGAGTGTATGGAACGATGAACGTGAGAACAGGAAAATCCTGGACAAACTACCTGATTGGATCGTTTATCGTTGGGGAAGAATTGTATCACATTGGCGCAGAACCAAGTCAGCTTTCCCACCCTTCCATGAGTTTGTGAAGTTTCTCGAAGATGAGGCCGATATCGCATGTGATCCGGTGACGTCAGCCAAGCCAAGAACACAAAGGAAACCAAACTTTGAGGAACCAGATGGAAATAGGTTCCAGTTCAAACGTTCAAACTTCTCCACAGGAGCTGCGACTATGCTTATGGAGTGCATATTTTGCTCAAAGGAGCATGATATAGAAAACTGTAAGAACTACACTGAAATTACACTCACAGAGCGAAAGGACTTTGCGCTAGAAAGAGGCATGTGCTTTGGATGCTTGAAAGTTGGGCACAGATCACGAGATTGTCCGAAGAGGAGCAAATGTAGGATTTGTGCTCGTTACCATCCTACATCTTTGCATGGAGACTATGTCCCAAGGAATTCTACTCCTAGAGAAACTGATGTTGCTTCAAATGGAAGAACCAATTCGAATGACAAAACCAGCTATTGTTCATGCAAGAGTGGTCAAAACGGAACCAGTGATAAGTGCTCAATGATAGTACCGGTGTGGCTTTCCCACCATGACAATCCAGAGATAGAGACTTGTCTATGCTCTTCTCGATACCCAGTCTGATACCTCATTTTATGCTTAAAACAGACCAGCGACGCTCTGAATCTGACCGGCCCCACTGTTCAACTGGAAACTGTCCACCATGTCAGCTGAGGATGAACTTATCCAAAGCAATAAGATAAGTGGTTTTGCAGGTGCGTGGATTTAACCGTTCGTCTAAAATTTTTGCTTCCTGTAAGCTATTCAAGGGACATAATGCCTGCAAACAGGGATCATATCCCAACACCAGCTAAAGTTAAAGATTGGCCACATCTGTCACAACTAGCAAGTAAATTAATCCCTTTGTGTGATGTCGAAGTTGGTCTCTTGATAGGATACAACTGTCCGCAAGCACTGACACCACGTCAGGTTATCTCCTCTGCAAGGGAAACACGCCATACGGCCAGTTGACAGACCTTGGATGGGGTGTAGTGGGAATCATTGATCAGGAGGAGATCCAGAACTGCGATGCGATAGGTTTCAGTCATCGAATTATGACCTATGAAATTCCACAAGAACTTCAGCGAACCTCTGCGGGTGGAATCCATGTTGGAAGTATATCTCTCCATGAAGAGCTCTGTACAAGAAGTCATAACCCCTAAAGACGTTGTATCAATGATGGAACTTGACTTCAATGATTCAAAGTCTCCCAACATTGAGCTGTCATTCGATGATAGCAAATTCCTGAAGATCTTGAATACAGGAATACATCAACGAACAGATAAACACTATGAAATGCCCTGCCTTTCAAGGAAAAAGGAACCAAATTTACCGAACAACCGACCAGCCGCCATGAAACGATTGATGCAGCTGAAGCTGACGCTTGTGAAGAATCCCAGATATGAAAGTGACTATTGTGGATTCATGGAGAAACATGATTGATAAGGGTCACATGGAGAAGATCCCTATTTATGATGCGAATGACGGTTGGTACATTCCACATCACGGAGTGTACAATAGCATGAAACCTGGAAAGATTCGGGTCGTCTTCGACTGTAGTGCGCAATCCAAAGGTGCTTCGCTAAATGATCATCTCCTAAAGGGACCCGATCTCACTAATACCATGACGGGAGTGCTGTGCAGGTTTAGGAAAGAACACATTGCAATCCAATGTGATGTGGAAGGGATGTTTCATCAGTTCCATGTGAATGAGGAGCACAGGAAGTACGTACAATTACTCTGGTGGGA